GTCAGGGGTACCAGGGGGTACTTTGACTAAAAATAAATTAATGCTTTGAAATCTGCTCTTTGATAAGCAATGGTGCCTCTTTCAAAATTCGTGAATTTCATGGCTTTTGGCTTAAAACATGAACCAAATACAATCGCTGGAAAGTTGTTACATGATACTCAGGTGACCTATAAGGCCCGTGGGCCTCTTGTTTAATTTACAGAAGAATCATCTTTACACTGCGTACTGAAGAGTTGTTATTTTGTTTGAGGTGGGGTGGGGATGTCTGCAAGTGGAGTGATTGATTGTACATGTATATTGTTTAACGTTCCTCTCGAGAATTTTTCACTCATATGGAAACGCCTGCAAGTGGAATGATCTCCCCTTGGATGAAAAATTGAAAGCTGTATTATACCTGTTCAGAGTTGTTATTCCTGTTGGGGAAGGTGGGGGTTTGGGGGTCTGCAAGTGAAGTGATTTGCCATTGGATCCATTACACCTCTTAAATAACATCTGTTATGAAATCATGTATTGTAAACAATCTAAAAGATGGATATAATTAAAAATACACATTTTGTCGAAGTGTTTTTATTCCACTGAAGTAAACAGTGGTAAAATGTGTTTATATTTTTTTTTCTTGAAAAAGGGTGGTGGTGTCAATATCATTAATAGAGGATGAAATAAGAAAGTTCGATATTTATAGGCTTTTTTGATAAGAAAAAATCCAAAATGTTGTACTGGTTTCTTATCTATTGTGTGCATCTGAAACAGGAAACAAATATTCCATGACTTAATTGTTGAACTGCGATGTTTAATAATGGACTATGTCCATAAATATAGTGATCAAACCGCGGGATCGGGAAAAGCAGAAAAAATCATTGCTCTAGTGTTGCATGTCCATATACCGATATATACGATATGTTACTTAAAAGAATGAGATAAAATTTGTAAATAGAATTTCTGAAGTATTAGAAGGCGGTTAAAACAAAAAAAATCATTTTATTCCATAGACTATATAGGTTCCTGCATAGACGTACTTAAGCACACCCATTCACACAATAGAACAATCCAAGGAAAAGGCACGAGCTTATTTTGACATTTGGCGCGAAAAGAGCGATTCACTCCTTTTGTAGAGTATAAATGGACTGATCCAGTAGTATAGAAATGCAGAAAAAATGTACACGGACATGTTGAAACGGCGAATCACTTGGGATAAATGTTCCAAGCAAAAAGATTAAAGGAAGTAAACACTACAATATTTTGCATCAGTAATATCATTCTTTTTGCTGAAAACTGATTCTTATAAAATGCAGGTAAATAATTCCAATGAAAAGCAGCTTGCACAAAATCTAGCTCTCTAGGTATGATCTATTACTTTCGGATCTTGCAAATATCAATCCTTCTACAGCCTGACGCCGTGACTTCAGGCAATAAACATGATTACACGCCCGTGCACAGGGACCTAGCTGTAGCTGTGACCATGCATATTTGCCGCCAAAAAAACCCAGAGAAACAGAGTTCATAGACATTATCACATTTATGAATGCAACCAATATGTATTTTTTTTTTAAATAAACTTACTGTTATCGTCAGCAAATCCTCCTGGCAGTTTCACTCTTCTTTTGGACATATTCGATCAATTCAAAATTCAATATATTCAGCTGTTGGACGATGGCTTCGATTCGATCTTCGAATGTTGATGAATTCCGATTGGTCAAAAAAATCTTCAGTATTTAGATTGTATTTTCGACAAAACGAAATAAGTTAAAGCATGTTGTTATGCTTTGTTTTTATCAAATTTGTTTTACAAAAAAGGAAAGCTATATTTAACAAGAGGCCCATGAGCCTTATAGGTCACCTGAGCATTATGCAACAACTTTCCAGTGATTGAATTTGATTCATGTTTTAAGCCAGATGCTATGTTATTCACAATTTTGAAAGAGGCACCATTGATCATCATAACAATACACTTAGCAGTTGCTTAGTTTGTTTACTTAATACCCATAGGCAGGGTAGGGGAACAAAAAATGCATTTCATGTAATCAGTAATATTCCAGCAATAATCAGTAATGCCCCTATCACACATGAACCCCTGACCCTTTAAGCCTAGATACACACATTGCACAATTTTTGAAAAGGCACCCTTGCTTACCAAAAATATTTGATTAATATCAAGGAGCAGATTTCAAACAATTCATCCAGTTTCAGTATACAAGTACAGTCCCCCTCTATGGTACCTCTGACCCTGGGGCCTTGAAATTCACAATTCTGGAAGATTAGCACCCTTGCTCATCATAACTATATACTATTAGGTAGTTCATGCACCCAGGAGCAGAGACGAATACATTCAAAGATTCAATGTATTTTCACTCACTATATAATCAATAGAGCCCCGCCCTATCACTAGATTCCCTGACCCTAGGGCCATAAAATCAAAATTTTGGAAGAGGTATTCTTGCTCATCATAACTATGTAATTAATTTATATCATTCCTAGGAGCAGAGAAGAATTTTTTTTTTCAAAGAATTCATGTATTTTCATTATATAACCAAAAGAGCCCCACCCTAACACCAGTACCCCTGACCTTGGGGCCATAAAATTCACAATTTTGGAAGAAACACTCCTGCTCATTATACTTTTGTACTTAGTTAGTTTATTCAATACCCAGGAGCAGAGAAGAAGATTTTCAAAGAATTCATGTATTTTCACTATAGAATCTATAGAGCCCCGCCCTAACACCAGAACCCCTGACCTTGTGGCCATAAAATTCACAATTTTGGTTGAAGCACTCTTGCTCATCATAACTATGCACTTAGTTAGCTTATTTAACACCCAGGAGCAGAGAAGAAGATTTTCAAAGAATTCATGTACTTTCACTATATAATCAATAGAGTTCCGCCCTAACACCAGAAACCCTTACCCTGGGGCCATAAAATTCACAATTTTGGTAGAGGCACTCTTGCTCATCAACACTATGCACTTAGTTAGCTTATTTAATACCCAGGAGCAGAGAAGAAGATTTTTAAAGAGTTCATGAATTTTCACTGTATAATCTATAGAGCCCCGCCCTAACACCATAACCCCTGACCCTGGGGCCATAAAATTCACAATTTTGGTAGAAGCACTCTTGCTCATCATAACTATGTAGTTAGTTGGTTTATTTAATACCCAGTAGCAGAGAAGATTTTAAAAGAAATAATGCATTTTCACTATATACTTATTTAGCCCCGCCCTAGCACTAGAACCCCTGACCCAGGGGCCATGAATTTCACGATTTTGGTAGAGGACTCAATGCTGATTACGATCATGCAAACAGTTTGACTGCTTGATGTCCAGGAGTAAAGAAGAAGATTTTTAAAGATGCATTAATTTTAGTGGTTTTTGCCCCACCCCCCAGGCCCCAGGGGGGGCAGGGACCATGAAATTCACAATTTTTGTTCCCCTTCACCCATAGATGCTTTGTGCCAAATTTGGTTGAAATTGGTTCAGTGGTTGCAGAGAAGAAGATGAAAATGTTCAAATGTTAACGCACGACACACAACACACGACGCACGACGACGGACGAAAACGGATAGCAATAGGTCACCTGAGTTTACTCAGGTGACCTAATAAATAATTGCCTTAAATTTTGTTTCATTACTCAAAAACAAAGAGTATTTAAAGTATTCGGTTTACAACTTTAAGAATTCTTCGCTTAGGTTTACTTCCGGTTTCAGGTTTCACTTTACAAATAACGGAAAATTTTGTGCATGAAAAAAAGTTATTGCAAGACAATAAAGAACGAGAATGGACGATTCATTGCAAGGTACGTATAGAATTTTCTTATATTTATTTATTTTAATAATTTACTGCTCGAATCCATATATTAGTAGCGCTGCAGCTGGTGAGAGGGTTATTGATGTGCAATCAGCTGTATACGTAGTATGCTAAAGCTGAGTGCAGGTTAGAAGTTGCTATATATACTGCATATGGACTAAACAATAGTACTTTTTGTCATCTAATTTTCATATGAATACAATAAAACTGCAGTATTCAAGAAAAAGAAATCCTCTTGCAATGGATTAAGGGGAAGCTGATAAAAAATAGTTTAACCAGTCTGTGATGATTTTTCTAAAACGTATATTTTTGTAGACAATGGTGATAGTGACAAGCAGTTAGGGGGAAAAAAGAAGACAAGCTTGGAAGAGTCAGGCCGAGATCATACTCACAAAAGAAAAATCCACGAAAGAAAGCAAAATGTGTGACCCTATCAGCTGATGTACCAGAATTTAATGAAGGTCAATCTCTGGAAAAGTCAGATGATGATGATATAAATGTTGGATGTAATGAAGAATGCATGGATGAAGAAGAAAACATTTCCGTGAATATTGATGACACAATTCAACATTTGATTGAGGAGGCAATATTTAACGATGCTGAAAAGGACGACAATGATTTAATTTCAGACGAAAAATGGCATAACTTAAGGTACCTTCCAGAAATGAAGGCGGAAGATGATTCGAAAATGAATGAATCAGATGATGAAAATGTAAATCCTGAAAAAGAAGAATCTGATGTCTTTGACAGTAATTCTACGATTTACCATGGTCAACATATGACAGTATATACAAGCATGGTATTGATTCTACTCTACTCTATTTGTCACAGCATCAGTTGTGTTGAAGCTTGAGATGTTTTGTTTCCTCTTTGGATTGTAAGTTGCTTGGTTGTTTCATATTGAGTTGGTAGTAACAAATTTCAGTTTTGTTTTTTAATCATTACTTGCATTTTCACGAGTGTCTTATTTGTGGTATATGATGTTTTCCATTTGTACCTCCATGATAGAAATGATTTAAATTCTATCCTATATTCTTTACTATATTTTAAGCTAACACATAGATATTGCGATGAACAATATATGTTTACATGTAACTGCTACAGAAATTGAATTGAATAAATAATAAAATAGAGAAAATGTTTTAGGGAAGATAGGATCCATATTTATAAACATGCTTTACATCAATTTCAGACTTTCAAACAAAATGGCCTGTCACCAGGACATTTCAATGCCAAGTATTCTGCGAAGCTAGACTCATATAGGGCCAAGAAGAGGGCAAAAGCCAAGCTTCCAGAGACAAAACGTAGACGATTAATCCTAAAGCAGGAGAGGCAGGCGGATAAAGGGGCCTTTGAGGCTACTGAGGGCTCAACATACCAATCGGAAATACTGAAATACATGTACATAACCAAGTTTTAATTATGATGCATTTGCATAGAAACAGAAAATTCATAATCAATTGTAATCATCTATTACAGAGATTGGACTGAGCATTGATGTGAGCATAACCAGAGTGCCTAATGCCACTATAAAGCCTTCCTTTTCTCCCGTACAGCTTAGTAAATAAAAAAATGTAGTCATCAATTTGGAGACAATAGGACTAAGTAAGAATTTGTTAATAATTCACAATCTCTACCAATTTAAAAAATTATGAAGTTGTATATATTTTGATAAAAGCACTGGTTAACATAATGGAATGACTGTTGATAATATTTCTTTTTCCAGTATCAAGATACAGCATGCCTCACATCACACAAATTGCTTGCCATGATGTAGAGAGTAAGGAACAATTTTCTGCATGTTCTTCCCAAACAACAATTTGATGCCAATGCCGAGAGAGCAACAGGTATTGTCTTCGATGGAACGTCTCTATATATGAGGGGAAAGAGGGTAGGTGCAATCCCCATCAAAGAAGCCTTGGACAACTTCCTGCAGTGGCTGAAGAAATTCAGGGATGTCGTGTTGGTGGCACATAACGGAAGGGTTTTTGATTCCCGTGCTTTATATAGTGCTATTAACAAGTGTAACCTACAGAAAGTATTCCGAGAAACTGTTACTGCATTTGTTGACTCTCTTAGTGTCATGAGAAAAAATGTTCCAAAGCTTCCAAGTTACAAGCAGAAGTGCCTTGCAAGACATTTTAGTCTTCCAGACTACAATGCACACGATGCAATCGATGATGTTCTTATGTTAGAGAGGATTATCTGTGCTGCAAACTTAAGTAGCTCAACTGTCATGAAGCACTCATACAGTAGTGATTGCCATTTTCAGGAAGAAATATTTAATGCTGAAAAATCTAAAAACATTGGATCGCTACATGTGTTGGTCGGTAAAGGTGTCCTGAAGACAAAATTAGCAGAGAAAATCGCTGGATCTGGTCTTGGCCTCTCACACCTAAAGCTCATCTACGACAGAGATGGAGAAGATGGATTGACCTGTGTTTTGTCCCCCAAAAACTGAGGGCAAACCCAGAGTAACTGCGACATCTTAAGTGTTACAAACGGTCATCCCTAAGTTATGTAATTTTTTTGCTTCAACATGATTTATTCAGTACTGTTATAAGTTGATATGTTTATATCATATTCATTTTTGTGTAGATGTACAATCATGCAGTCATCGAGATATTACATATATATGTATAGATATATTCTTTTCTGCTTCATGATTTATTCAGTTGTACCAAAATGAATTGATATACATGTACTGTGGAATGATTGAGTCAATTTTATGTCTGTACATATGATAATCATACAGACATTTATAGATTATTTACATGTATGCATATTTAGTTGTACCAAAATCATTGATATGCTTTGTGGTATGTTTGAAAGCTTGATTCAAGCAGCTTTAATTCTACTAGTGAAAATTTATGTTTTATATGAATCATTTATTGACTGAATTGTAGATGTATATCCATGCATATAATAAAAAAAGCACCTTCAGAATTATGAACGCAAATGAAATGCATTATTTTTTATGCCGTACTAAAAAAAGAAAATTCACCAGTAAAATATTTTCATTAATAATTTAATTTGCATATATTTAAAATTTTCAAAACAGTATTGTTTCATTGTGAAATAATTCATAAATATAATAATAATTTAGTATGTACACATTTTCTACACCATGGACACATTTTTTGGCTTAATTTTTAAAAAAATTCTTGTGTATAAGTTCACATTAAACATCTTATTATTACTATTAGATTTATTTTAATAAATTTTTATGAAAGGAAATGATTATTGTATGACTTTGAAAAAAAAAATTCTTAAAAAAATCATTTTTGTTTTTACATAAATTTGTTTTGGTCAAGAGTTATCTCCCCAAAAGAGTTGTTGCCCCTGATGACCTAATTTTTTTTATCTGTCATGACCCATATATTAATTTTAGAACATTAAAAAATGGGGTCATCAGGCTCTTATTATTACCTATTTGTACATCTGATACCTACCACACTGTAAAAATAATTTTATACTGTTCCTGTCTGGGTTCTCTATAATTTCTAAACGGTCTGTCATACAAAATTTCCTTTGTAAGGTTTTCCTGGCAGCTGAATTTGCTGTGGCAGTCATTAGAATTACAGGACATTCCACAAGGCTTCGCAGTTCCCTTAATCGACCATACCGACGTCTGAAAGGGTCTTCCTCGCTCGCAGACTCTCCCCTAAAAATGAGGGGAATAATTTTAACCCTGTTTGAATTGCTCAAATTTTGATAGATTGTAACAATCATTGCATCATTTCCCCCCTTCAGAAAAAAACTTACCAATGTAACACTGTGTAGGGTTCATCTACAGCTATTAATCTAATGGTTGAATTGTTTGTCACCCAGTCTCTCCTCTTTCCGTTTAGCACACTTTCAGGTGAGGTGGAAATGAATTGCATTTCATTTCTTAATATGGAATTGTCGTTTTCACTACCTTTATCACGAAGGAATAGTTAAATTAACAATATTGTGAATATACTAATACATTACTTGGGAAAAAGTTTGTTGTGATATAATTTTTAATTAATAAAAGTGTCAGATAAAATCAACGTTCATGTTTCCTGAAAGTCAGTATTATTGAGTGCTATGTCTTCTGTATTCAGTAACCGACTCATTAGGCAGATTAGCTGGTTTTCGTAGTTTTTCAAATGAGTTTTTGACACATGTCTGTCTAGCACTTGGAAAAAGTTCGCTGGACATGTTCTTATAAGTAGCTTTGAAATATATAAGGATGGATTCTTCTCATATTTCTTATATTCACAGAATCTTGATTTTCTGAATACTCAATATTCAGACTGTGTACACTTATTAAACATCCAAACGAACCGGTGTAATCAGCATTGATTTTCGGTCAAGGTCGTTTGAAAGTCAGTCCTAAAAATAGTACTTTTACACAGAGAAATTTTGAAATTTATGCATAGGATATAATTTTGCTGACAGAAAAAAATATCTTGCTCAATAAAATTGAAGTTGTAACTCATTTTTGATCACTAACTAACATGAATTGAGATGGTGGGAAAAAAACATCAAATCTTCAATATTCAATAAAAACATTTAATCCGAATTTCCTCGACAATTTCTTTCAAATTTCTCAGTTTTCATAAATTTACATGAAATTTCATCTCAATTTTTACAATTGATCATATATTGTCAAATATTTAGATTTCTGTCAGATGAGTGTTCAAATGTTGAAGATTAATTTCAAAGGTAGAAAAGATATGGTATTCATGCTAATTATAGAACAAATTTAGCCCGAATTTACTCAACAGTTTCTGAAATCTTCCATTTTACAGAGTGGTGTTCAAATCTATAAGAGAGATTCTTAACCCCCCAAAATAGGCAATTTGGTGTAATTGTGACACATATATACATTCAATTCTTCCATTTATACGTTTCATTTTATGATAGTTTGTACAAATAATATTTAAAACATTTATTTCGAATTTCCTCTGTCATTGTATTCCTAGGAGTAAGTTAAGTTTGACAATTTTATTAAATACAATCTGGATTCTTTTCCTATTTTATATATTCAGAAAATAATGCAACTATGCATGGAAACATTTCAAGATATTCACAATTAAATGACAAGAAAAAGATGTGGGTCATCATCGTTGATTTTGCTTTAAGGTCATTTGAAAAGTTGATGCTAAAAATAGATTTTTTCCTCCTGTGGAATTGAGAAAATCCAACGTGGTATTTTAAAATTGATGTTTTGAAAAAAAGGAGATGTTTAGATATGAAAAAACAATTTAAGGCTCAAGTTTTATGCTAAAGCAATGTACTAAGGTAAAAAAAAATAACAAACTTTTGATCACAAATGACACAAAATATTTATTCCGAATTTCCTCTGTACTCTTTATAAAGTGATATTTTAGTCTTTGACAATCAATCTTTTTTATTCATTTTTTTTTTTACTTAAATCATATATTCAGAAAAATATATTTTTACAATAATAGGAAAGATATATGTTAAATGAATCATTTACAACAAAAAAATAAAGGGGTATCCATATTTATTAAATTGCCAGGTTAGCTCGAATTTCCTCATTTTAAAAATTATCATTGAAAAGGAAAATGCTTTCAATATATCATATAGGCTAATAATTTAAGAGACAGGACAGGCGTTTAGATAATAAATTTTCTCTAAAATATGATATGGTGTATTATTTTGGAAATAATTGCTGAAATTATTGCCATGATTCCTAAAAACTTTAAAAATTCAATCCGAATTTCCTCTGTTATAAAATATACTGGTTTCATTATTTACAAAGAAAAAGGAAAGGTTTGCGAACAAAATACATGTATATTTTTGCTGAGTTAAAGGCCAAAACTTTATGCTATATTATAGAATCTTCATATGTTTTATACATGAACTAATGACATTTATCAGTGCCAACACAATTACAATAATTATCAAGGGTGCAACATACTAGTATAAGAATCACCAATTGTTCATACAATTTTATACAATACATTGCATCTAGATTCTGAGGCTATACATAAATCACACAATAATAATTTACACAATAAATATGTATTACAATGATTTCTAAATATATGGCATTTCTTAATAAATAAGTGTTATTTTCAGTATTTTTGTACATTGACTTACAAAGGTATATGAGACAAATTTGATACTTTTCCTTTCAAGAAAAATTTTAAAAAATACATCAACATCCTTTCAAAAGTTAACTTATAATTGTTGTATTTTCGGTGGGTAAATAACAACAAAATAAATCTTAAATCTCTCCTGTGTAACAAATAAACTACAAAATCTTTCATTAGGGAATGTTTGTTGGCAAATCCCCTTTTCTGTGGCAAGGTTATGTGCACCAAGTCTCAAGCTGTTAATGATTGGTCTCTCTGTTCTTTTTTTTGGGGGGGGGGGGGGGATATCAGTGTAATTCACAGCATCTGAAATCATCAAAAACAATAACTTGATAACATTTTAGTTTGGTGAATTATGAACCTTTTCTCTTTTGAATATTGATCTGATATTATATGTTTAAATGCTTATCTGATATGATTTTTAATGAATTTGAGGAAATCTTAACTGGCTGAAAAATGAGAAAATCTTAAATTTAGTTCACCACTCACTTGATGTGCGAATTTCTTGCTGAACATCTGTTCACCTCCTGAGAGTCGAATTTTTTTGCCTACAATTATTAAAAAAAGGATTAAATATATGCATAGCAGTAAAAATTCTGTATTACATGTTACAGTGTATTATACTTTCAAGTTAAATACTAAAATCTGATTAGTTTAGATGCATCTAACAATCCTTATTGTTATACTTTTAAAAATTTGTTCCTATACAAATCTATACATTTCTAATGATTTGCTGAGCGGGCATAAAACAATTGATATTAATTAAACCACTGAGTGAGAAGTTGGACCGGTAGATGATATGTTGGACCGCTTACATGTACATCACACAATTGGTGGAGCTTAATCTAATTTGGATTTGTTGATATTTAGCAGTGACGGACGTGAAGTTCAAGACAGCACTACAAGATACATATACATCTAAATGAATATTAAAATGAAAGGTATCACAAAACATTTACTGACTGTGTTCTCAAGCAAATAAATTTTGCCGATCCTCAAACCAAATTGTATGCCTTTGGCCTATCTGTCTCAGGTAGACACTTTGGATCTTGAGTCTGATAAAATGCAAGTTGCCCTTGAACTCAGTCTGTAATATTTAAAATTGACATCCCTTGTATCAGTTGACAATGGTTTTCCTCGGGGCGTCAATTTAGATTGTAGCCCTCAAAAACATGCACTATTTATATAATAGTTAGATACAGTTGTGTTCATATTTCTTATAATTAAGTACCTCAGTAGTCCATCTGCAAGCAGATTTTGTTCAATCATCCTGCCTAAGTCTGGCCTTCAGTCTACCTTCAACTACAAGTAGTCTACTCCTGGGTAAATTAAGTACTGTAGGGCCGTTTGCTCCTAAGAATAAACATGAACAGTTCTTAGACAATTGTTTTTAAATAAACAAAACCAAGATATAAGATTAAACATTCAATCTTATCTGTATTTCATTTATTGATTTATAAAAAAAATGAGTGAACTTTTTTAATAAATATATTTTATTTTATATACCACTTGGTATAACAGTGTATAATGTATTATTTAAATTTGTACTTAAAAACATTTTAAACCTAAAAACACAGAAAAAATACAATAATATAAAGAATTTCTGGAACATTTTGTTTCATTTTGCTCCATGAATTAGACAACTGTTTTGTCTAAATGTTATTGATTTTTCCACACAAAATATACTCATTTTTCACTTTGATTTGTACCCCAACGGAACACCTTACTTTTCTAACAACTTGATGATTTTTGTGTTTTTAACAAATAAGGCTAGTTAGTAATGTAACTTGTTGTAATTATATACAAGCAATTTTGTGAATAATTATTATTCATAAAACTGACGAACACACGGAAATGATAAATTTTAATCCTCAAATGTTGAATAGTCCCGGGAACATCATACGAAATACATCAATCAGCTGTCAATCTATAATATCCTTGCGAATTCCCATTTATTAGTAAAAACCACGTAATTCAATTTCTAAATTATAAATTAAATTTTCAGACATATATAACTAACTTACATGTACAATCTCACTGCACAGTGACCCGGCATGACATCAGGCGATCGAGGCACCGTGGGTCTGCAATCTCGCATGTTTGTGACCTTCAACAGTTCAAGTTTCCTTTGGTTGATCGGGTGTCCCAGGCATAAAGAAATGGGTGACTTAAAATTGTTTTAGTCATCCCTGGGCTTCTACAATGCTTCAATAATGTTTACGGCTTGTATATTTTACAAAACAATCCTCTCAGGGTTATCTACGGGAAACGACCTGGACATGTTGACATTCGCTACGGAACTGCGCATTTTATGGCAATTGTCGCAAATCAAAGAAAAAATCACGAACAACTTCATTTCTTTAATAGAAAAAGACTCAACAATACATAAACTAATAAATAGAACAATTATTATTTATTCAGATTGATTAAATATGTAATTTGCATTTTACGACTTCCAAATTCTATGGAGACTCATTGACGACGTAAAATGCTGACAAGAATCCATCCTTAAGTTCTTTCTTCTTTTCATCTTGCTTTGTCTGAGCATAGTGTCCATCTAAACTTTTCAAGGATCTCGGAATAACAGCATCAAGAAATAATTTTTGTCCGTGCTTTTCTTTTTGGTCATTTGTTGTTACCAATTGTTGCAGGGCTTCAATACGATCATATAGATAATCTCTGTTAAACATGTCTTCCACAGTCCGATCCTCACCACTCAAACTGCGAAATCTGAGATACAGTTTATTGAGTTCTCTCATCTCAGCCATGACTAGGGGGTTCAGATAAAAATTATAGATGAGATATATTCAAATAAATATATTGTAACACGAACATGGACACATTAAGAAATATATAAAACTTTACTTGGTGAAAAAATTCCAAGTAGAACTGAACTTATGCAGTTATCAATGTTGTGAGTACTGCTGTTTTATGTAAGAAAATTTAGCTATATAAGATAACTATATGATGACACATGAAAGGAAGAAAAATCCGTTAAATCTAGGTAATTTTTTAAGGATAGAGTCTAATTTTATTTGGAAATATGGCAAACTATATATATTTTCGGAAAGGTCTATGCAAGCCCTAATTTTCTGATTTTACGCCAGCTTAAAAATATCCAAGATGGCGGTAAAATATCCAATATGGCCGCCAATAGTCAAAATGGCCAACACAGACCTATTGATAAAATGCTTTCAAAATCATGTGAGCTAGGAATAATTAATGAAATTTTATTTATTTTTTACAATTTATTTCTTATAAAAGATTTATAAAGACAGTAATCTTAACAAAATATGGTCACTAAACGACAGAGTTCTGTCAGGACACCGCAAAGAAGAAAGATATCAATATTATGAAATTGGCGAAGACTGGGGAAAAAAGCATTTACTACAGTAAATTCACAACTTTATTTTGAATTTATATAGATCTTTGAAATACATATCAAATTTTCTGTATCAATTACTAATTGTAAATATTCAGTCTAAATTATCCATGCTTCCTGGACAAGTTGAATGTTAAGTTTCTGCTACTTCCAGCGGGTAACATAATTATGATATGGAATGATCCTAGCATTTTCCCGAAGTCTAACTGTATATTCTCACTGAAAAAAATTAACCACAAAGTATATCATGTTCATAAAAAAATTATAAATATTTTTTATAGTTATCAGTAAAACAATAAATAAACATTTTCTTTTATCACATAAGAACTTCGGGTTATTCTACAGTAGTTCAGAATTCAGAGGAAATCCTGGTTACAGAATCAAATTTGTACATTTAATTATTTATATCAGGGACAGTCTTTTATAGGTTCTTTTTATGTGTAGTAGGTAATGACCATAGTTTTCATGGATTTTTTTCCATTAAGTTCTAAAATTATTTAATCTCATATTTTCTATTTTCTGTTGTGATCTTTCGATACAAACTATGCATAAATTTAAAGGTACTTAGAAACTGTTAAAAAGTGCGCGTCGGGTGACGACTTTTGAGTGGAATCCGGGTATATTAATTTCGGAATTGATTACAGAACCACAAAATTCAGATGCGAAATTTTCTCAGCTTTCTAATAGTGTATGTTGCATAAAAATATTCCGAATACTTACCGTTGTAAAATTGACCTCTTTCCTTTGAAACGAAAATACATAAACTTCTGCACATTGCATTCAGATGCAAAAATAACAATGTTAATCTGCAAAGTGTAAGCTTTCCTGTGATAGGTCAATGTCGTCAATTTCTTAAAAATCGCCTCCCGGAAAGCCAATTGAAATGACGCTATCAATGTCGCGGAGACAAAATTACAGTGCCATGCAGCAAAGGGAAAACTCCGCATTTAATTTTAGCACAACTTCGACTAGGTTAATTTTTACTACAAACTTTTCATAATGACATAACACATACATCTTACGAAAGTTCAAACAATGTAGAAAAAATTCATGATACTTAATTTTTAGAAAAATATGAATAATAATGCACAAATAACATTTATAAACACAAATAAATTGCGTTTAAATGGCACGATTACATAGTTAACTCGGGTTACCTGAACCCCCTACCATGACTGTTTTATGGACCTCATCTTCCTTTCCCTCTTCATGGCGTCTCAGATTGAAATGTCTATACCCAATCATTTTTATTATGTTGGTCCTACAAAGATCTCCAACCTCGCCAGATCTAAATCTGTTTAAAATTTCGCAGAACTCTGCATCTGAACTTATTTTGTCTGCAGAGGCTTTCTGTAGAATTTTTGGTTTAAGAGCTGTACCTGGCTTTTGGGAAAGAGAAGTACTTATTGGAGAAGTATCCTTTGCACTCCCCACAAACCCGTAGATCGTCATCTTTACTTGGTTTCCGTTCTCTCATTTCCGGCTCTTTATTTTGAGCAATGAGATTCAAATTATATTCATATATGCCTTCTCTACGCTTCAAATCAAAAAAGTTGTTTTGAATGGCACTAGGCTTCAATAATTTGGCTTGAACTCCAGGTTCAGTTTTGTGTTTTCTTAAAATATGTCGTTTTAGTTTTCCTCCCAAAATGACGCTCTTGCAGTATATGCAATATCTATCTGGCTTCTGAAAAACAAATATCAAAGTTCAAATTTTAGTCTTATTTTTATTTAAAAAGTGAAGCTTCTTTGGGGTTTGTTTCATATTTGTAAATACATATTTTGGAAGACAAATTTAGTAAGTATTCCATTGTAAAACGTTCATCCCCTGTTGTGGAACCCAATCCCCAATCTCCAAAGACTCAACCAAAATGGAATCTCCACTACAAGTGGATTCAAATATTAGTATGACTGATCATGGCTCAGTTGTACATCATTCACTTAAATATTGATTTATTTTTTTCAAATGTTCTTTCTTATTCTCCATAGACATTTTTCACATTTACAAAATTTATTCCCCTTTATGGGGTCAATCTGAGGTCATCCTGGGTAAAGCCCTGTTTTCCCTCTATAACCTCACCAGCTTTACTGCTCAATACCTAAGAAATTTCAAAAGATGTTTGTAAAACACTTAAGCCCCCTTCCCCCTATATTGGAATTTTTCCAAGTCCAAAAGGGCAAAAATTATGCTATTGCACCACAAACAGTACCTGACCTAGATATTCATCTTATATATCTGGACTGAGTTGCTCAAAACTCTGGTTAAGGTTAACCACTGGTTAAATCTCTTATCCTGTGGTTAACTGTTAACCATTGGTTAAATTCTGTTGCTCAAAATTTGTCCACTGGTTAACTGTGCTATCCAGTGGTTAAATATTGGCCAAAGTTAGCCATTCTACATAGGTGGGTGAAGTCTCTTAACCAGGAGATAAACATGGCTTCTAGATTATTGTTCAATGTTAATTGCGGCAGACGACAGAGAAAACAGAGTTTTTAGACATTTTCAACATGAATTCGATGCTGATGAATGTCACGAAAGATACAGGTTTTCTGAAGAAACAGTTAATCATTTAGCAAATTTATTAGATCCCAAGTTATGTCGCCCAACCATGAGATCCCACTCACTTGCAGCAATAAGCCAAGTAGAAATGGCTTTGCGATATTATGCAACGGGTGACAATATAAAAACTATAGGAGAAACAATGGGGTTCCACGTCTCCAGCGTCAATAGGAGTGTTCGCGATGTATCTCAGGCTCTTGCTGATATTGCAGAGGGTTACATCACGTGGCCCACCTCTGCTGATGAAATAAACAACATCAAAAGGGGTTTCTATAGCATAGCAAATTTTCCTGGAGTCATTGGAGCAGTGGGCGGCACTCATGTTAAGATTATCGGACCCTCATTGCATGAGAATGTATACGTAAATAGAAAGGGATATCATTCTCTAAATATACAGGGAATCTGTGATCATCAAGGCAAGTTTGCTTATTGCACTTGAATACATTAGTAACTGTGCATTTATTACATTCAAACAATACTGGTATATTTTATTTTGGTTATTTAAACGATTAATCAATGTAGTCGCTAAATGGCCTTGTTCAAACCACGACTCCTTCATTTTTCGTGAATCTGATGTCGGAACCTTTTTGGAAACTCACCACCGAGGTATTGACATGGATGGAATTTTACTTGGAGACAGCGGTTATGCGTGCTCAAGATACCTCTTGACTCCATATTTGCATCCAAATTCTGAGTAAGACTTTGTGATACAACCAAATACAAACACATACATGTCACGTACCTCTCCATTCACTCTAATGAAAGATATTTTTTTTCCAAAATAAATCTTTAATCTATAATTTCATGCCAAGAGATCTAGTGTACCCTACAGCATAAATCTGACAGAAATTGCCTTAACTTTAGCTTGACATTAAACCAAGTGAGTTATCTCTCTTACCAGGGACTTTGAAGTTTTCACTATGATATAACATTTAAACAAATAAATATATAGTATAGTATACCCCGGTATATTACTTTAACAATTACAATGATTAATTTTCATCTTACCTTTTCCATCGTTTGCTGCCTCTGTCATAAAAAGATCATCTGCACATGCCTTCTTTTGTTCTTGGTTAACAATTACTACAATTCATGTGCATGGGTATTTAAATATATACTTGTACTACAATGTATAACTAATGTTTGTGATAAAATGCTATTCTATTATGCATACAAGTCAGAATTAAATTTACATGTATTTTCAACTGTATTACTACCTGCAAGATGTAATGAAAATAAAATAAATCTTAAATGTACATGTACATGAGTTTATTCAAGTAATAGTTTCTTCTTTATTCAATCTATGCCTATGAATTGTGTTTAAATAAAAAAAAAATATTTGGAAATATCTTATTTCGTATTGTCTTTGTATCTATTATTTTCATAAATGTAAAAGCTTAAACTTACTGGAATTCCCACATTCAGCTGAGTATGGTAGTACCTCTGTAATTATAAGTTATAAAGAGAAAGCTTTAGGTCTAATATAGGAAAAAAACTGCACAATTCATCAATTGATTTCTTGAGATATTGATCTTAATCGATTAAAAATAATATAAGTGATATTTTGTAAGGTACTTAAAAATTTATCAATATTTGCGTTGATTAAATCGGAGCGAAACGCATTAGGAGCGATATCCCTGAAACGACCATGACCTTTATTGTACTATTATCGCATACGATACCATAATCGATTGAAGGATATTTAATATAATGAGACAGATTTAATTTCTGATAGATTGGACATTTTTCTCTAGTTTTATATAGTTGACGCTCAATAGAGTCTCCTCTGACAGAACGTATCAAACCTCGAGAATGCAACTCATGCGAATTTCCTCATACATAACAGCATCGCAGACGACGTTCTCATAGATACACAAGTACATGTTTTATACAACTGAAAAAGGTTAAGGTAAGGTTAACTTTTATATTTACCTGGTAGATGTAATCCAACCTCGACCCCTCCGGTTATTCCAAAGAAATTGGGCGAATCTGTGTGCAAGTCCACAACTTTCTGTGACACGAGATTCAGTGAGGGCTGTGGTGGACCACCGCCGGTCTTAGCGCGGTCCTTCTTGATTAAGATAATATCTGCCTTGGCCTTAGTACACACCTTCCTGTACCTTTCTTTAATTTGATCCACAGTTCTTGTGGATCCTCCCCTTGAATTTATAGCATTAGTTATTTCTTTCCAAGCCTGTGTCTTCTTTGTATTAGTGACTTGATTTGTTTGTTTAGATTTTATATTATCGAAATATTTCTCAACTTCCTCAATAAGAAACAGAGTTTCATCGGCCGTGAAGTTATTACTCCTTTTTTTACTCCCATCTACTTTGGAGGCCATTTTTGTTTTGGTTGACATGTGGACAAATGAAATGCATTGTGGGATACTAACCAGTGGTTAAATCATTTAACCAGTGGTTAGTTAACCAGAGGCTAATTTTATTTTGAGCAACAAATATTTGACCAGTGGTTAGTTGGCCAGTGGATATCGAATTTAACCAACGGCTAACTTATCCAGTGGACAAATTTAACCAGTGTTTTGAGCAACTCAGTCCTGACCTACACACCCCTTCTCTAGAATTTACAGCATCAGTGATTTTTTTTCCACACCTCAGTTTTTTTGGCATTCGTTTTTTGATTAGTTTGTTTTGATTTGATAACATTGATGTTTTTTCCACTTCATCAATTAAAAAGAAAACATCATCGACCGAAAAATTCTCAGACCATGGCCTTTTGTTTGAGACAGCCATTAATGAGCTGACAGACGGACAAATGCAATGCATTGTGGGATACTAACCACTGGTTAAAACACTTAACCACTGGTAAGTTAACCACCCCAACAAATGTACTTTGAGCAACAAATATTTGACCAGTGGTTAGTTGGCCAGTAGATATCGATTTTAACCAACGGCTAACTTATCCAGTGGACAAATTTAACCAGTGTTTTGAGCAACTCAGTCCGGCTGCCACTTTTGTCTTTTCATATAGTAAAGTTACATTAATGTGTATGTACCTCTGATTAATTTGTACAATGAAAGATATAATACTGTATACAGTATATTATAATGTAACAAATACCCATATCTTGGTTTGACTATAAATAGTTAATGAATCTCACTTGTTTGTATGTATACTTTATTGTAGATTTAAAATCCACCATTGAATATTATCATAAACTTGGGCTACCATACAAAGAAATAACTATTTTATTGAATGCAAGACATAATAAGCAATATAGGTAATTCTTTTGTTCTTGTATATTTGCGTTTAATGTCTCTTTGGCAAATATTTAAATATTAATACATGTATTTGATGTGATGTTTGAAAAGTCCATGAAATTTTAAGTGATTATTTCTTATCATTTCTTCAACTTTATACTTATTTGCATGTAGAATTTGTAAATGCTTTAATGAAGTTTGAGTAAATTGATTTGAGGTACATGTATAATAAATGAAATGAATTTACACAGTCATTGAGAACTTCTGTTATAATTTTTTTTACAGCACTGAGTATATAAAGAGAAAAGTCATCCCAATCTTAAATTTGAATAATAGGAGAGGACCTGAGAAGCTTACCAGCTTTGATGATGTTCTTCAAACTATACAGGTTATTGTGATATCTTGTGGTAATATTATTATTACATGAATGTATTACTTATGTTTAAAAGAAGGCAAGAAAAATATTGAAATTTGCTTGATGCTCTTCAAATTTTTACCCCGCATTCATCATTATGCATCATGTAAGGAATTTGTAGTAAAATTATAAACTGTTCTGTGATAAAGCTTGGAACAAATTGATTAAAAAATATTTGCAGTCTAATTAAGCCAATAACACAATGATTGTACACTGGCACAAAATGATATTTTCTTTCCCATATCAGTATGATATTAATGTTGTAGAAATGTATTTCAGCATGAAATGGATCTAAAACCAGACAGGAGCATATCTGACATGTCCTTCAGATTAAGAGTTAATTATGGGCACATTGTTAGAAGGTATTACAATGTACAATATGTACGCACTATTTTATTTTCACAAATATACTGAATTTTCTGATTAGAATACTACTTGGCTAGTTTGATTGCCTTTATCTTGAATTTTATGAATGAAAATCACTTAATTTGGCATGAGAGTATAGTCATATAAGTTAAGAATGCTTGTAATATAAAATGCAGTTGTTATTTTGTTGGGTACAAATCATATGTTTATTTATTTATTTTTTGAAGTTTAAAAATCCTGATACATATAGTACAGTTGGGTAGGATTGGTGGGCTATGCAATATTTGTCGATAATACAAAAATTTGTCAACATTGAGATATAAAAAAAATTGCTTCATTTCCCCAACAGTTTAATATAATTATTATTTTGTTTTGAGTGTGAAATAATCTCATATTATGAGGAAATAAATAAATAATGAATGAATGGGAGATAATAACTTAGAAATTTTCCTTAGAAACAGAAATATCCTCGTAATTCAATTTAAAGTTTTAATGCTATTTACAATATTTTTTAAGAAGTTAACAAATTATCCACTGGGGACTTTCAGAAGACTGGTAAGAGACGTAATGAAGACATTGGACCCCAAAGGAGTTTCTGCAAGGAGAGGCAATAAGCTGAAAAGAAGACAATACATCAGTAAAGGTATAATTTTTTATTTTTTTAAAATTATTTTGTAATGTCTATTTCAAAATAAGACATAAAATTCAGATTCACTGCTGCTATTGCTACTGTGCGTTTTCTGTTCTTTACTTACATTCACAGGTGTTTCAGATTCTTCTTCCAAGTCTGAAGATGTAACTAAACACTGGCTGTCTTCTTCCTATGAAGAAAACAAAAAAAAATTCCCAATTCTGATCCACATTGCATTAAATGCACTTATCTCTTATAATTGATTTGTAAATATGTATAGTAAATTTGTAACAATTTTTTACAATGATACAAATGTACAAGACTTGGAAGGGTTTTTTCTTCTCAGACGAAATTTGTAAACAATGCTAACACGTGTCGTTCGAATTTCTTCCGTGCCTATTTCCGGTAAAGGGGTACCCTGTTTTATCGTGCAATGTCTTATATATATATATATATAACGGGGTTTTATAATGCTATTGACTATAATTGCACTTTTTAATAACAAAGACCAATCAAAATACACTTGTTAAGCCGGCGTACTCGTCCTCTATAGTAAAAAAAAGAAGCGAAAACATAAAACTTCACTTGACGTTTGTTACCATTGCTTGCAGGAGTTCTCCCGGGCTTTTGTAAAATACAGAAAGGTTAAGGTCATTTTTCTCGAAATATCAACCAATGAAATTGCTAGCATGCTAAGGGAACGTGTCAAAGGCCGTAATTGAAAGGCATACGAGTCGGGTTTGGTTTTCGTAGGTAATCATTTTTATGCGCGCGCAGCGCCACCTATCCTTCCGTCAATGCTAGTTAATGGCGCATGTGCTGATTCTGCATGAAGCCCTTGCTTAGGATGGTTCTATTGTCGATACAGTGACCTTGTCAGAAAATACAATTTATCATTAAGTGAAATGCTGACTGATGTTTTTCATACCAATTGCTAGTCCATTATTTATACACTGAATTAGAGATGGATTTTTTCGTTATTTTCTGATCATGACAAGGAGCACACGGCGGGTGTGACCGGTCTGCAGGGGATGCTTACTACTCCATGGCACCTGATGTTTCGGAGGTCCGTGTTTGCTGTATTGTTTAATGGACTTTCAGATTGATTACGTTTATTTATCTCCATTCAGTTAAAATCAGTTGTGTATCAAAACAAAAGGAAATTTAACATATTATGGTACAGAATTTTAAAAGAAATGAAATTTGATTCATGAAATCATTATTTATATATTGAATATTAAAAGAAATTACATGTAATTTAAAACATTCAAATGTTACACTTAAGCTACATCGGGTGGTACAATGAAAAATTAGTTTTTTCATTAAGGCTTGTTTTCTAATTATAGACGTCACGTGGTGCCGTCGAGGTGAAGTACATGTATTTCCTGTACTATAAGTCCCATTAAAGTCTATAGAATGCATAATTATAGTAAAAGTTTTATCCTTGAATTTTCCGATTTATTAGTGTTACATATTATAAAAAAGATTTTAATTCGCCAAATTCTGATCCATGTGCTGCCTTAACCAACCTGCAATTTCTTTTGTTTTGTTTATTAGCCACTACCATTTGAAAACTTTTGTCCTTTGTCATGTGTAAGATATTTTCAGCTGCATCTTGAACCACTTTAATCTCATTATAAACTGCAAAGAAGATATTTTCAGCAGTGCAGTGATCCATGATGCTCCTGTAAACGAAGTTATATTGAATTTAACATCAGATAATGTGCATGTAGGTGGAACCACCGCTGTAGCACACACCTTGCATTACAGATATGTATTGACTCAAACTTTCGTTACATTCCCAGAAACTTCCTACTCTGAGAATTCCAAAGAAACTCAAACAGTAATATAAGGACCAGTAGGTACAAATACAGTTGGAATATGGAGTGAAGATTTGGTAAAAGTGTTTACTGAAAATCATAAGAGCACACAGACATTTGTTTCTGGAAAATGCCTTACAAGACGTGACACATTGAACTATTAATTTTGAGTGACTTTGTTTACAACAGAAAGAAACTCACAAAATTATGGAATCTCTTAAAGAATTTGGAATTCATTCAATCGAAGTTCTGATTCAAGATGAAAAATTACCAACAATACCCATATCTTTTTAAAGGCAGAGATTTTACTGGGTGGTAAATTCCAGGTGAGGGCGGGGCTTATTTCAGTACAGGTGTGAAAGCATTGCGGGCTAACTGTCTACCTGGGGTCGCTTACTATACACAGGAAGTGATTTAATACACATGAAATACCATAAGCCGAATTTTACCTGTGTTGAAATTGATTTGGGAAAGATTTTAAATTTGAATTAAAAATAATAAACAAAAAATATTACCTCAACATTGTTACCTGTTTGTATTTGTATGCCGGCTTGTATGTGTTTATAATTATGAGGTCGTTAATATGTAGAATGTACGGGAATTAGTGAGAATTCTGGCGTAGAATAGAGAGACAAATTTAATTCAAATATTAAAAAAATGTAATAATTATTATCTCAGAATTTATACTGATTTGTGTTTGAATGAGATATTAAATATTTTAATGCAGATATGTACGGGAACTGGTTTGTTAAATTTGCTGTGAGAAAAAGAAAACGGAAGAATGTTTTTGAGATATTCCGCTATAAAAATTCATCAAGAAGGATATGGAAATAACGAACAGTATTCAATCTCAACGTCCATTAAACAAA